CACACCTAAATTGCTTGCACGTTGTGCAGAACGCAAGGGTTAGAGAACTTTATTCCATTGGAAGCTTACTTTAACTGTTGTAGAGAAGTCCAAAATAATTCAGTTTGACCAAAGTCCTTCACGCAGATGTCTTATACTGTAAGTTATTTTCCCAGTAATTTATAAAACTTACCACCAAAATATTGCCCCATGGGTGTGCACATTCTCCACTGTGCTTGATATATGCCGTCACTTGCAGGTGAGATCATTTCAACACTCACATCACTACATTCCATTGGTTCAACTGCATTAACCAACAGGAATGTGATTGGTCCAAGTTGGTCTCCGTATGTGAATTTTAAGAAGACTCCCCGCGGCCATCTTTCAGGACCTACGCATGAAAACAAACATACTGAGGTTAAGTCCGACAACGTTAGGAAATAACAATTAAAAAATCCTCCGAATAAAAGCGTCACATGCGCTCAAGATTTGAATTAACAAGACCATTCGATATATGGATATAACATTAGCTTTCGTGTCTATATGGATGCAGAAACCCCTCGCACTACCTTTTCCAAACATGAACTTTTAATTACAAAATTCAACCATAAACACTTCGTAAAACTTTTAAAATGTTTATAAAACTACACTTCTGATACATTTTCAGATACATTACTTGTCCTAGTAATGCTACATTCTGTTCTGATACATTTTCAGTACTGATTGAGACCTTAGATTTATACCTCGCAAGCAAGCCAGATTCTCTACTTCCGCTTCCCTCCCAAACACGCTCCAGCAGAAACCCTGGTACAGGCTGGTCACATGACACCTCAAGGAGTGTCATTAATTAGCGGCCTGTATGCTAATTAGGAAGGAGTGGCTGAGTAATACATCTTCGTTCACAGTAAATGCTTTTTGAACGGATCTAAAGATACTCCGAAAACAAACTAAAGACAAATCAGGCGATTGCCGTATGCGAACCGTTCCGGTTCCTCGCGGCCGGTTGGCTCGGTTCTTCGCAGAAGACATTTTGAAGACATCTCTACACAGTTCTGTGTTTCAAGCCTAAGAACACTCAGTATTCAATATGTTTTACAATTAGAGGATGTGTGTTACTTTGTGTTCAGCCAGATAGAAAATCGGCCAACGCTTGTTTACAATTGCCTATTCTTCAAAATTCGGGATGACCCACACTCCATGGACACAAAGGTAACTAAAATGTATAGCATGCTAACAGAATTATGTAAAACAGGCCAGGTATTAATTCATGTCGATAATTCCAAGGCTTTGTTGTATCCTATGTTGTTTTGTCTTAAATGTTGTGAATCAACTCGCAATTTTATAAACAAGCGTCAGCCAAATCTATTTCCAACCAATATGTACAGTATACTCATACTGAATGTAGCTTACACATAAAGACTATTAACTTGGACCATCACAAATGTAAATTACAGTAAAGTATAGTAAAATATATTATGATTAATTTGCTTGGGTAAAAATATGAAAGATATTAATAGCAATTAATAGCTGTATATGTTTATGATAATTTTGACGTGGGAGCCTCGCTCTCATGAATCGTGAGCCAAACAACTTGCGTGATTTACTAATGAGAGCGAGGCTGCAAGACAAAAAAGTATGTGTGACGTAATTATCGAAAGGGTGTATTCACAATGCTCGTTTTCCCGGGTTTACTTAGTATGTCAGTTACGATATTGTTCTGCCACACCTTCGCAGAGATATAAAGTGTTGCACCATTAGAATGATTAAAACGTTTTATAACTTTTTTTTACTTTTGCACTTTCATGTCCGACGATGTTTGTACTTTGTATCATAAAAACGCATCGTAAAAATGCATCGTAAAACGTACTACGCTTTACAGGATTTGTACATGATTGCAAACCTATGACTGTGTATTAAAAGTTGGGCTACATTTTACTGATATTTTCGGCGAGAGCAAATAAATGGTTTGATCGTCGCTTACATGGTAGAGATCAGTTATACACTCGGTACCTAATTATAACTGGTCGATACCACTAATTCATGTTTGTTTACGTTCGTACTTGTCTCGTCAGTTACATATTAGGCTATGTCATATCGTATCCTTTCGAACCAGCATGCTTTTATTAATCGCCCAAGGCCAAGAAAATGACATTTAATTATGTTCTTAGTTTGATAACAGATAAAACTAAAAGCGGTAAATTTAGAATTTGTTTTAAAACGGAATCAGCCATTAAAGCGGATTGTTTTATCCGGCTATCGCTCTTGGTCTAAAGCTTTAAAAGTAATTACTATATTCCGGTTGTACATTTTACAATGTACAAAAATCTAAACCACTACTGACAGTAAATCATACATTTTCATCAATTCAATGCACGATATTCAAAATACACATCCCTAGAAA